GGGGGGGGGGGGGGTGTACTTAACAAAACTTTATGCCAGGATTGTGAGTCTCAATAGTATGATTCATGTGCAATGACCTTAAATAAGGGAGCACTGGGAATTTCGGTTTTGCGTGTTCTGACGCTTTTGGAATCTGGTTTTCGGTTTTCGCATCGAAAATCAGTGGGTTTTAGGTTTTTGTATCTTTTGCGGGGTGTAGTTTTTCTTTATCCGCATGCGGTTTTCGTTTTTAAAGCACCATCAAAGTGGACGTTCGGATTTGTTTCTCAGCGCGGTTTTCGGTTTGAAGCAAAAAAAAAAATTGCCCGAAAAGAGGAAAAGACCTTTTAAGCTTGTTATGTTTTGTTTTCCCAATTCAGACACGTGATGTTCTCTAGGGAATTTACCTTTTCTTCTTTCATAAATTATGCATACATATGCACGTGGATGCACGTGCGTAAGACGACATTTAAACGAAACAGTTCTCTGGGGTAACATCACGTGGTCTGAAATTGGAAAACAAAACATACAAACTAAAATGGTCTATTATTTCCTCTTAGGGAATGGCCCTTATGAAGTCTTATTTACATTGGACCAGCAAATTTCACTACCAAGCCTCCGAAATTTGTAACAACAATTAATTTAAAATCAGATTTGGATGCAGATGACCTTTTAGAAGTTTGTGTTTGAGTTTATGATAGAAAGGCATGTGACGGCAGTGTCGACTAAGTCGATGACTATTAACATTGGAATTACCCAGGCAGATAGCCTTTGCAATAACGTTAATAAACTTATAAATGGAGGCAAAATCCAGAAGGAACAATTTTTTTGCGAGCACATGTATGATGTTCTACAAATAATGATTGGGTGGGAGGGGAGGGGGGGGGGTACTTAACAAAACTTTATGTCAGGAGGCTCAGCCTTGAGATCCAACCGTTTACCTTTTTACATACAGTCGAACCTCCAGTAACGGCTAAAGGGGACACCTCTTTACATTTGATCTTACTGGCAGAAGAGATTTTTTTGAGTTTATTACCAATTGCAGTAAATGACTCGAAATTAACTTTCACCTTTTCTTTTGGATTTTCACCTGCCTGACCTATTGTTAAAAGAGTTGGTTACCAGGGAAACAATAGTAATAACTTTTCTTATTGCTAATATACTTTTCAAACACTTCATATTTGCTCGAAAACGTTTGGAATCGCCGCACATATGTAGGGAAATCATTTCCAAAGAGTTGAAATGATTGACTGATATATTTCCAATTAAGACAAGAGGCGATATTTCCACAAACTACTTTATGGTACGATAAGACGTTTTCTACACGAAACATATTTAAGAAGAAACAAATCAAGTTTAGAACTTTCTGGCAGTGAAGCTCACCAGGAGTTTTAAAACCACTTTTCACCGCTATTTGCTTGAATTTAATTTCGATACATCAGTGAAAGCTGAAGATCAAAGAAACAGATTACTATGACGGCTTTAGTTAAAGCCATCGAACAAAAGCGATTTAAACAAGCAGAGTTTCTTTTACGACGTGGCGAAAATGTGAATCAACAGGAGAAACATTCTGGAACGACTCCTCTTCTGGCAGTTTGTTTCTTGGATGACGAAAACTTAACCTGTCGCATTGCAAAAAGGCTTCTTCGACGAGGGGCTGACGTAAGTCTTCATGATGTAAATGGAATGAGCCCGTTGATGCAGGCGAGTAAACTGGGAAAGGAAAAGCTTGTTCAGGCTCTGATTGAAAGTCAAGAATGTGACTTTGCAGCTGTAGATTCCGAAGGGAATACTGCTTTGATTCATTCAATTGAAGCTGGGAATTCACGCATTACCAAAGCTATTACAGAAGCTATGAATGTCTTCGACGTTCGCGCGGCTGATAAAGCGAACAAGAATGGAGAAACGCCTCTGATTAGAGCAACGAAACTAAAACGCAATGAATGTAAAGAAGTGTTGTTGAGTGATGGAAAAGCGTCACCTTGCGCCAGAGATTTCACTTTGAAACTCAACGCAAAAGAATGGGAATTGTATTTGAAAAGAAAGAAAGAAAATGGTGAAAGCGAAGGAAAAAACTCCGGAGACTCAAACTGCAACGAAAAAGGAATTCAACCAAGAACAAGAGGCAAACGATCAACTTTTAATTCTCGACAAGACTTAATAAACACAGCTCTACCATTGAGACACTCTGTGAGTTTTATTCAGCAGAGTAAACCTGGTAATATGGCTCTTACAAGAAGGACGAAATCTGCTCCTTTGGTAAAAGGGGAAAGGGGCGAAAGTCTGGCCAATGAAAAACCCCGTTTTAAGCATAAAAAGGAGGAGAAGGGGGTAGATAATTGGCTTATGCCAGGAAACGAAAATTCCTCTCTTCCACAAAAGCCATTGCAGCATGAAAAAAATCCAATACAGCATAGTGTTGCCTTAGTAACGTATGCAGGATCACCCGATAAACATGTTCAGCAATTGAAAATGAAGCCCAAGGGAGACTGCACAAAGGAAGGTCCACCTAGAACGATTAATAGGAAGAAGGCATTGAAAAATTATCAGAGCCAACTACATCAGCTATTCTCTTTGATGACTGACCAAAATTCAAATTCGTTTCGTTCACCAGCAAAGGAAAGAACTCAGGAGGAGAAAAGGAGTAGCACGGCAAAGTCAGAGGTAAGCAGAGAGTTCAGCAAGCGGCACAGTTCTAGGAGAGGGTCACTGATGACGCAAAGAGCTGCGCATGCGCAGAGACGATGGTCCACAACCATGACCGCCATCAGTACTTCGGAGAGATTTTCGTCGTTGTATAACCGTTCCGATTTTCAGTTGCTGGATAAATCTGTTCTAAGGTCAAGGAGAGGATCGTTGCGATCAAACCCTGACGTGTTGGGCTTCACGTCGCCCGTGTCTAGAAGAACAAGAACATCCACGGTGTCTCCAAATTTGGTGAAGCTTGATCCGAATTTATCACATTCCCTCCCCGAGAGGCGCAGTTTGGCTAGAGTTAAGACTTCCAAACCAAAAGCACGATTGTACACAAGGCACAACAGTGATTCACTCATTTCAACTGGTAACTTACTGAGCAGGTTTTCAGGGGTACCAAGTACTAAAACGCCAGTAATAGAAGAAAGCGAAGAAGGTGCAGCCGGTGATTGCTAAGAAATTAAAAAAGAATAATTTTTCGTAATCTTTCTTGCCAAGTATAAAGGAATGACCATAGACCAGGAAGCTACTTAATGATCGATGCTCAAAAGTACTGTGCATGCAGAAGGAAATGACTTAAGGGATTTACTCGAAACGTCTACAACTTTCCAACACTAATCACTCCTAAAGAACTAAGCCATCAAAAACAAAGTGAAACAAGGCAACATGTTGAAGTTGGTGAACTACCACTGATCATGCACCCTGACTGTTCCAGGAGTTCACGTAGTCGGGTAGAAAGAGAAGAAGAGAAAATCACAGAGAAGAAAGCGACAAGGGAACTGCGCTGAAAGTAGTGCCTCGGCTAGGCAAATGCCGGGAAAGATAAAGGAAAAACTTCGTCTCCAGAAAAATCCCGGTTGTCCAACTAACCCTAGGCCTAACCATCAGGCACCATTTTGAAAAACGAGAGGACCAGGGGACAAAGTCAATTGCTAAAAAGGATGCTCAACGAGACTACATAGCGTTTTACTCGTTCGCTGGCTCAACTGTTTCACAGTCCTGAGGGAAAAGCTAGGAATTCTAGCGCAGAAAAATCAGCACGTACAGCATAAATCACATATTACATGAACCAAGTGGGTGGCTTTCAGTGGTCTGGTCAATACGGTACGCATAAGCAGGGCCACACCACTAGGAAAGAAAGCTAGGAATTCTAGCGCAAATAAATCAGCACATACAACATAAATCACATATTACACCATGCAATAGTTTTTTGATTCAAATTCTGCGAAAGCGTTTGTAGTCTTGGTCTTAGTAGTAATAACAATGCCAAGTCGGATCTCACGTTGACACCAGTCAAAGTAGATTATTACACCAAATTGGTGGTTTTCAATGGTCGGGTCAGTACCTTACGCATAAGCACAGCCACACCAGTCCGGCCATGGTATCCGCTGCATATGAACAGCTGTTTTGTCCTTATTAACACTAAGTCTGACGTTAAATTCACGGTAGCTGGAGTTAATAGCACCAATGAAAAGATTAAATATTGATTTAAGATAATAGTTTAACACAGGGCTGCAATACAAAGGTATATAGCCCCCCGATAACAGTTTTTCTTCAGACTAAACGAAATAAAATGTCTTTTTAAAGGAAATATTTTAATGTTATGGAAAAAAATATGCATGATAGGGGAAAAAGGGAATCAAGGATATTTATTTCGTGCGAATGATGTAACGAAATGTTGGTGTCCACTGTCTATATTACACAGAAAAATTACAAGTCAGAATTTGTTGAGTCCAAAAGAAGGCTTACAAAGAGGTATACGTCTATTGAAGAGATGTCTGTAAGAAGTATTTCGAACATATCAAAAGTAAGAAACCTTTTATGAGCTCGGACTGTCCATCATTCAACGTACAAGGCATAAACTGTTGCTTGGGCAAAAAGCGTAGAATTTGTGAAGTATGCGGTGACATAGTTATCAAAATGGTCATTCCACACACATTGGCTCGTGATCTGGACGCCTTGGCTCTTCTTTTCTCCGACGTGGAGAACAACTACAAGTTTATATCGCGATGGCCCCAGCTCTTTGACTTTGTCCTTGATAAGCTGACAAACGCTCTGGCATTTTTCCTTGCATTTGGTACCGTCGTAAACGTCGTTCATGAATTGCTCTCTCAAGATAGTCTCAGCCAAGGTCTCCACTTTTTTAGCTGGCATTTTTGCGTCTGGGGAAAGCTTGTAAGTGTTTTCGTAAAAGACCTTTCCAGTGGAAAACTCACTGCCGATAACCGATGCGTCGTCATTTTGATCAGTTACGTTGTTATCGCTTCGAGTTGTAGCTGCAGATTTAAGCTGCAAAACATCCTTTGTTTCCAATTTAGAGGTGACTAGTTTACTCCTGTGCGCATTTTTTCCCGAAGGAGTCGCCCCGCTCCCTCGTTTTATAGAAGCGGACATTTGTTTAGCTCTTGCAAGATAACTTTTCACGTAAGCTTAAAACCTTAGCAACTTCTATCACGGTTTGTTTGTAACTCAATGTCGGTTATTTTTATTGTTTCTCCATTTGCCGGCAGCCACTTTTCGGTACTAAACCGTCAACTATTCAATTCAGCGACAAAGGCAAAAATGACTTCAGAATAAAGGCTTAAGCACGGTTAATCCTCAGGGATATCTTTAGAAGCTAATTGATTTTTCCTTTTTGTATCATAAGCAAAGTTTTATAATTGCTTTATGAGAAGGATAAATGAACAAGGCACGGCTTGATCTCAGAATTTGGAATCCCGTGAATTTTATTTTAGCAAGGACAAGATTTAAATACCTTTTGAACACGTCATCCCACTATTGATCAGGAATATCTATAGCCAGGTCAATCTACTCCTAAAAAACATGCATGGCAGTGATTGGTTTCAAGTAAAAGCTTGCGAGTAAGGCTTACTGCAAGCTTCCGATTATAAACCTTGGGCTTCGTAAGGGGTTCAGTTTTACTGTGGAGGTGTTATAAACGGGGAGGGGGAGGGGAAGGGGGGTTATTATCGGACTGAAAAAGTGTTTCAAAACAAGCCACATAGCAGTGCTGACCAAAAACCTTCTTGAATCTGATCGCGTTTTTAAGCTTCAAAACGTCGTAAAAAGTCGAATTTTTTCAATACAAGCTGGGGGGGGGGCTTATATCCGGGAGGGGGAGGGGAGGGCTTATAACCGGGTGTATTTTGTTGTTCACTGGTAGATGGGCCTATAAATGGGGGGGGGGGGGGGGTATAATCGGAAGTTTACGAAATGCCCGGTGCGGCTTGGTAGTTTTATCTTCTGGTAGTCGCCCCAAGAATCATAAATGGAGAAAAAAAAGTTGACTAAATGGCGAATTGAAATAAAAGGCCGGCGTTTTGCTGTTGGCTTCAGCTGCCGTTTTGTCAGTTGACTTTTCCGTAATTATGAGGTTGTTATTTCTTTCTAATCGTTCCGAAAGGCTTTGTTCTTTTTTAAAATTACAATCCAATTTGGAACGCACGAACGCTAAACACAACTGCTAAAAAGGTGTTTCGTGATAACAAACTTAGTGTATTTTAAAAAACTTGTAAAGCATGAGACAAAATTGTACCTTAAATATTGCTCTTTCAACGCTTACGACTAACGAACAGAGCTCAGCGACTATGGTACAACACAAAAGTTTAATCAGACGTAAAATAAACATTTGACACGCGAAACATCAGGTTTTTTTTTCTGGCTTTTATAATGCCTGCACTTATTTGTGTCTGATTCATCCGCCGACGCAACCACACCGTTTTTGGAATAAAATAGCTGCTTTAAACTTTTTACTCAATTAATGAACACAACCAACCAGACGCGATTTCAATCTAAAACACAAGCTTAAGTTTCGGACATTTGAGTGGCTCTTCTATCACTGTGCCTCTAACGGCTTGTAAAAAATATTTCGGTTTAATTCCTCCTTCCTATTCATAGACAAAGACAGTAACTATTTTTTTCTCAAGCTACCTTCTAGGTCCTTGAAATTTGTGCACTTTTAACAGGTTATAGAAAATAATTCATAATCGGATTGAACTGGAAGTTGTCCACGCGCGCACGCGCAATATCGGTTCACCTGAGGAAACGCGTCATTCAAGGCATTCTTTCGGGGAAAACTATAGGTCTGTACTAGTAGTAATAATGCAAACACTACTTTTGTCCTGCCGCTTATGTCGCAGCAGGAGCAGCTTTGTGCAGATAACTTTAAAAAATCGAACCCAGCGTTCAATAGACCTCGTCATGATAGCCTCAAGACTGATTTAAGTTCCTTTCTCGCACAGATCAGCATGAAGTCTCTATTTTAAACAACAAAACTTTGAATTAAAGCTGTTATATCTCTGTTAAAACTCAGCAGGAAATGGGATGGCTTTTAAATAATTCTTGCCTAAGAAGGCAGGAACATGCATAATTAACTGAGTAACAAATTGCGATTATCGTTACGGAAAATTTTCACTTGTTCGAGGAGGGGACAACTGGGCTTAGATTTGACTTACATCAGAGTTTCTGCCATTAAAATAAATAATAGTACCGGAATACGCGTGTTGGTTAAAAGCTAGTAAACAACATTACTGAATACATAGCCAGCACCTGGTATAAATCCACCACTTCCTAAATGTTATCGTTAACGCTGAAAGGGAATCTTTAACAAAGAAAATTGTTAAATATGACATTAACATTTAATGTTTAAAGCTGTAACATAACTGCTAAAGATGGGCCTCAAGACCAAGATAAACTGACAAGGCAAATATAAGCTGCAGGTTGAAAGAATTTAAATAAGAATAGCGCCAAACATTACTTGATTCAAATAAAAAATAGATATATTTGAAAGTAGCGCCATAGAGATAGTCTCATTATAAGATTTTGTTTACACAATCAAAAGTTAGAACATAACTCCATAATTGAAGTTGGAAGTTTAAGTTAGTTAGAAAATGGTAAGGGAGGTTTTCTTAGCCATGTTTTTTTTTTAAATTGTCGCCCTTTATAATGTCAGTTTAAGATGCAAATCTGTTGATCTTATGGTAGCAAAAAAAGATTAAAACGACCGGGTCATGAATTGAAGTTTCAGCTTTGTCAGAAATGTAAATAAAAAGAGATAGCGGACAAATATGTAGCGTTTTGCATCGCTTTAGGTCTAAAAAGAGGGCTGAACGATATGCATTTCAAAAGAACACGCTAACAATGCATTCAATTCAAGGTGTGGCCTGAAACAATAAAGGAACCAGCCATTATGAGAAACGAAGTTAAACCAAAGGTGTTTTTATAATGTGAATTATATCAGTGGAGCGATACTTTATAATAAACATGTCTAATTGAGACGGAGGTCTTTTCCAATGTTCCCGTTATTTCAGTTTTTGGCTATAAGTGTTTCTCCCGAATGCACATTTTTGACCGGCCTAAGATTTTTTTTATTTTGTCACAGATTCATTATCATAATCCGAGACAAAGGAAGCGAAGTAGAACTGTTTGAAAATATTTTAAACCACGACAACAGATATTTGAACCACTTTGTGAATCATTAGACTAAGTTTGGTTACATGTTTTGAAGTCTTTGCAGAACGAACGCTTTTACTTTTAAAAAAGTCAGTTGATAATTTTACTAATCATCATCTAGGCAATTTCTACTCACAAAGGTTGCAATTTATACATCAAATGAACACACTAGCCCACGGCGAGGTAAATCACATGCATAGACAGGACATAATAAGCCGTTGTCTCCAGTGATATTGACTAAAGAACCTTAATTTACAGCTTAAATAATCATCAGCTAGCTTTTTGACGCTTTTCTACGTGCGAAGAATGATAAAAGGAACTTAAAGAAGTAACAGAAAAATAGACAAGCTTTTTCGGCGTTGCTGACGCTTTAAATTAGTTTCATCCACATACTTAAATACACCAATCTAGTATCATTAATTAACACGCGTGCATTTCCTCATTAGACGCGAAGGCACCTGGGCCGAACCATAAAGGTACAACATGATAAGCAACACCACAGAAAACTACTCGGTTCAGCCGCTTTCGTTTGAAGGACACACTTAAGGTTCATCCACAGACTCAAAAGTTAAAACCACCTTCTTCAGCATAATAAACAGTAACACAGGAAAGTACTGCTCAGTGGCTTTCATCTGAATGGTCACACTTTAGGATTTCATCCACACTCTCAAAGGTTAGAACCATCTTGTACAGCATGATAAACAGCACTACAGGAAAGTACTCCTCAGTAGATTTCATTTGAAGTGACACACTTAAGGGTTTCATCCACAGACTCAAAAGTTTGTACCACCTTGTATAGCATGGTGAACATCAAAGTACAACTCAGTAGATTTCACTTGAAGGACCCACTTTAGGATTTCATCGACAGACTCAAAAGTTAAAACCATTTTGTACAGTATAATAAACAGTGCCACAGGAAAGTGCTGCTGCATGATTAGTTTTCATTTGAAGTGACAAACTTTGAGATTTCATCTAAAGATTCAAAAGTTTAAACCATTTCCCTTGCAGGGCGCAATAAACAGTGTCACTCAGTAGCTTTCATTTTAATGGCCACACTTCAAGATTTCTTGAAGCGTTTCTAATAAATTTAGTTCTCAAACATTTATGTGGCAAACAATAATAAGCAGGAAAACTTTATCTGCGACTTTTTAGACGAGGCGCTAATTACGGGAAAAGCAACTAAGATAAGTAATAAAAATGAATTTGATCACAATTATTTCATATGTAAAATGTATCTTTTCGGATTCAGCACCGTTTACATATTCCGGCGAGTGGGAATTGGGAATGTGTGACCAACAGATGGAAGTGTTTTAAAATTTACTTTTTCTGACTTCTTCAAATGGAATGAATAATAAAATAACTCTTTCGGTAAAATAATAAGCTGATAAACACCCAGCATCTAAAATAACATGCCACGAAAGCAAACAAGAGAGGCTAGCTGGCGATTTTTAACTTGCAAGGGGCACTGGATCGTTCTTATGTCGGACTGCATAGTGGGACCGCTCAAGGAAGGTAGGCGATATTGCAATTCAACAGAACACCGACCAAGTCTTGTACGAAATATTAAAGTAGCCAATATGATCACGACGTGTGCAAGGTGCAGGATAAAAATACAGTTGAAACTGCGGTATATCAGCAGAACTTCGAAATGATTGTTATGAAGACTTAAAACAGTTTGAACTCTTTGCGTTTAGAGTCGCGTCAGTGGGTGCGTGAACATTCGTGTAATCTTTTGAATTTCAATTTCCCGATTGAGCTTTCCCTCAAAATTAGTCTGTTTAAGAACCTAAAGTCACTTAAATATATTGTAAAGCCAAGCTTATTCTAACGGCTACCTACATGATAACAATGGCATCCCATCCACCAAGTTTTTATGTTCTTATACTACACACTGATTCCTTAGACATTTCTTGTAGTTAAAATGTGAAGAATTTGTTATACTGAGAAATCATCGTTAAATCTCATTCAGTTTCATATTCTCATAACCTTTACTTCTGAATAAACTATAATATGATATCATCAAAAGAAATTAGCTTCTGGTCAGACAAGAATTCCTTTTTAATATAAACTGACTTAACGGTGTTTACTAGGCTGCAGAATATGGCAGGTGCACGCGCGAGTTTTTTTTTTAAACAACAAGTAACCAGTAATAAGGGCCTAAAAGCGGCCTTGCACGCGCGAGATCTCGTCGAGTTCTGTCGTACCCTGCAGACGGGGGTGTTTGGTATTCTCCCGCGCTTTATGTTTCCGGTTTCCATGGTTTCTTGCAAACCTAAAACGTTCTGACTTCCGAATATGTTGGACAACACCAGGAGCTCCCGTCAATACCATGAAATCTTTTCATTAAGCTAACCACACAGTCCTTCTTTTCAAATATATCATGTATGTAAATATAACATTCGTGTATGTATTTGAGTAAAGTATTATTATTACAAAGGGCCAAACAATACTCCAGCTGCCCAAATGGTCGCTTTCAACGGAAAAAAAATATCAAGACATTTGGAAATGCTGGCCTAGTTGACAAATATTTTCCCATGGGGCCTTGTCACACGGTCAATAAACTTCATATTTTACTGTTATTTTTATGCATTTTATTATTTTTTTTTCAAACTCTTTGTCGCCTTAGGGTTTTGGACTGTCTTCGGAGGCGGCATTTTGCGGGTTGTATTTTAACAAGATCTGATCCTACTGATATCGCTTTTATAGAACGAACGAGTGTTTTGAGTTGCTTATCTAGAAGTTAAAAGCCCATCAATAAAACGGATAAGTCGCGGATAAATGCGGTGAAAATCCTGCTAAATGTGCGAGCAAAGAACGTTTTTCAGCCTTGGTAAAGACTCAGAGCATTAGGGGAGTTAATACATCTGCCTTATTCGCCTTTCTTATTTTGTATGTTGAATCCTGAAAGAACAATGTTTATAAGAACTGGTGTTAGACCGGGGGGTACCCAACAAAGCCTTATACGGGGAGGCTCCGAGCCGATGTCGAACCCCGAACCCTTTTTACACCATTTTTGGCAGAAATGGTAACCCTTTCGTATACCTTCTATTGACAAATGGTACCTCTTTCACATACCTCGTTTAGAAATTTGCACCCTATTTAACTGTGTTGCACTGTTTTGATATATGAATAAAACACGAACTGATGAGAGCCGTTTTAAAGACGTTTTCACAGCCATAAGCTCTTGCTGCGACTTTTTGCAAACCGTAATGACTGATTTCCCTACCCTTGTCCCCATCCTTTCATATAACTGACGCCTGAAAAAGAAACGCTCTGAATAGACCATTAGGGTCCCCCCCCGGAAATGCAAATGGTTGGTAATTGTTATCTGCGAGGAAGCTCGGGTCGGCAGATTGTTCTTTTCTTTGAGTCACTAATTTAATTCTTCGCTTTCAGTTTGGGGTAATTAAATTGGACAGACAAGACGTTCATAAAGTACACTTTTACAATACTTAAAAACATCATGAAAGCGTTTTACATTAAAACGTAACGCGAAGGGGTTTTCTTCTGTGGTACTTGCTTTCAATTTCATAACACACACAAAAAAACAATATTAAATTTCAAAAGGAAGTTGTTATTAAGAGTTTTTGTAGGTGAATGAGACGAGGCTTTTATGAACGATAAATCACCAAACTTCACACAGTGAAAAAATAAAGATGTTATTAAAATAGAGCCGAAACTCGAAAGGGTATGAGACGAACAAGGCTTAACATAATTTAAATGTTTAATATACCCTTACCCTTGGGCAGTCTAAGATAAAAGAGTAGAATCAAACTATATTTTCCGATCTTTCTTTATCCTCAGCTGGATTTCTTGTTTTGATCCGTCGCTCATTTTGTTGTTCTTCTCATGGTAACAAAACTATTAAATGACGGCAATTGTTGCGGCATTGAGTTGAAAGGGCGAAAGAGCGAAATTTATTCTCAAAGTAGCTCTTTGTCAGTCCACAATTAGCATATGAGACACCTGTCAAGTAAATGTTTATTTCTCTCATATTGGCCACGACAAATAAGCCTCAATAATCTTTCTCTCCGTTTGCATGCCTTTTGTAAGCGATCACTTAAAGACGACCACAATGAGAAAAACAGCAAAACGTTTTAAATACATCCCTCGGTGTTATCAGAATCAAAAAGGGAACAAAGTTAATTTGTAAAATTCAATCTGTTCCGTAGCGAACGTATTAAGGCCAATGTATTAATATCTGAAATTTGAAACGCAAATGGGGGTGAACATTAGGCTTCGGTCTATATCAAATTCGCTGCATTTTCATTTAATGCGGCTTGCAAGTCTTTTTTGGCGCCGAGGTGTAACCTGAATTTGTCTTGAATCCTAGCGATTGCAAACGTTCAGTAAACCAAAGATGACAAATTAACAAAGACATTAAAAGACCGTTGCGCCTTGAGACAAAGTCGTCTACGAAGTTTTTAAGAGAAATTGATGAGCTCTTTCGATAAACTGAAAACACTAATGAAGGCATGGCTGATAATTTTGAAAACAATTTTAACAATCCCTCTTTCCTGCCGCTCTCCACGTGCGATTTCTGTTTTGTCTTGTGAAATGAATTCATAATATCGCTTTGGATCCTCCTTAGAAACAATTACACACCAAATTGGTGTGTTGTTTGACAGCATGGGTCGCGCAACCAATCAACTTCAAGTAAAATAACCCCTTTCCCTTTCAAAAATGCTGACTTTCTTAAAAACACGCCGCGATTCACTCAGACTGCGTCTAAAGCCATTACGTGATTGGTTAACACTAATGACCGATTTAAATAGAAACAATAAGGCCACATGTTCCATGCTTCTCATCAGAGCAATTTTCAATATGCCTTTCAAATGCATTCACAGTAGCGCTGATAATGTGACAAAAAAAGCATTTTAAAGGCTTCCAGCCAGCTGTCGTTTGAGTGGATCACAGTATAATTGCGGTTCCATGCACACATTAATTTTCACCGTTCACGTCTTTTGAGCTGCGCGCGAGTTATTGTTGCCATCAAAACCTGGTGCACTTCATTCACAAAGTTAATCACCTCGATCAAGACAAGTGAAAAAAATTCCACTTTCAACTCTCTTTTGGATCGTAGTCGCGCGGGGCCATCGCTGAGGCTAAATCGTTAATACAGTCTTTAATCTGCACGCGATAAATTAAGAATTGTACCACGAGCTTTGAACAATGGGAGACGAGATGCTTAGCGTGTTCTACAGTGGAGACATTTTCACGAGGCACGGGAAGATAAGTGCTAGGGAAGTTGCAAACCTAACGGCTAGCTTCGATGAAAAGAGCGAATTCCGCCTGTTTAGAGACTACTTTGGGTTGATAAGACTCGTGCAGAATGCGGCCGAGTTGGACAACACCGAACCCGGGTTTGACAGCTTGTACGATTTTACTTACACCAAGAGATCTCGCGTAGACAGCGTGGGTTCCGATCACTCGCTAACGAGCTCAAGCTCCGGTGGCAACGCTGAAATTGAACTATTCGTGGAAACGCCGTCTAAAGCTCCAGGAACCTCGCTCGCGCCTGGCGCACCAACACGCGTTTCGAAGCGGAACGCCGAAAACAACAGCGAGGTAGCCAATCGCAATCGGAAGAACAGAGAAAGTAAGAAAAACAGAAACGCAAACGTGTGCGTTTTTTGCAGGAATAACGGAGAGTCCAAGAAAGTGTATTCGAGTCACGTTTTGAAAGATGCTGAAGGGAACACAACATGTCCGATTCTTCGAGCGTATACCTGCCCGCTCTGCAAAGCTTCCGGAAACGAGTCGCACACCATCAAATACTGTCCGAAGAACAAAAACACTACAAAACAACAGCAAAGTCAAACGACAGCAAGTCAGGGCTTGAACTGAAGACTGTAACGGAAGAGGGAGTCGCCAAGACAGGACACTAACCATCGCGAAAATAACCTTCGAACTGTAAAGTTATAACTCACAAGTTCAAAAAGGCTGATGCTTTTAGATTCAAGCCTCTAAACTATATGGTAAATTAATCAACAGATATATAAATTATACAAGAAGATATTAAACCCATATTTAGATAGATTGCTTAGGTTTTTAACGATACACACAGGAGCTGAATTTTGCTCTCGATCACTTCACAAAATTGCTCATCATTTAATAGATTTTTAGACTGTTTGTAAAGTGCATAGCCTTTGGTAACATACCGTTCAAATGGTGTCATATTTTCTTGACTTTGCGCTGTGAGTGCTTTTGGAGGCAAGTCCATTAGTTCGTTGATATATTTGCTCTGCATATTGAGGGGTCAAATCCCATGTTTTAGGAGCAAAACAAAATGTATAAAGAATTTGAAAATAACGTTGTTATATACTTAAATTTGTCTTGCGTATTCGGCACGTCAAATGTACACTCATATAAAATTAATATCTGTACAGAACTCAAAAGAATTACAAACTTTCGAGGAAAAAACGTTAAATCGTATGGATAATTTTTAATCGACATTTCATTCTTTCAGTTTCCACTGTGGAAAATATCAAACAAAAGTTTTTCCTTTTCAAGGAGATTTCACTTTGTTTCACTTTCAAATCTTTAGCATTGATATTATATAAGGCCATGATTAGCGTGGGCTTAGCTATGAAATAAAATTGAGATTGTAACGCTTAAATAAGTGAATTACAGATGAAATAGCACCTAATGTTAAAATTTACTACTGAGATAATGTGGGATGAAAAAATATTGTCTGTGTTTCAAGGGAGAATCGCTTATTGCGCAGATATTTCCCGAAACAAAAATTGAACTTCCCGTTTTCTTTTCAGTTAAAAAATGTTAATATAAACACCTCAATAAGGACGAATTTGAAAGCCTTGCATAAGGAAAAAGTTGTGTACTAATGATATTAGAAAATACACCACTATTATGTTCATGCAATAAAACTGATTGTTTTAGAATAGCTGTGTTGTTGACTGAAACAGCAAAAAAAGCATCTAATTCGACTTTAATCTCTAGATAAGTTTCGTTTAGAAAAGAGCCTTTACATTCACTTCTTTTTAAGATACTCACGACATTCTTTTTTAGTTAAGCGTAAGACACAATGTTTATCAGTATTTTTTTATGGACGTTAAAAGATTTTAAGAAGCAACGGGTTTTTGCCGACGAAAAAGAATCGATTGTTACAAAGTTATAGTTTAAACAAAGCACTAAAGCTATAACTGAAGATTATAGAATAAGCCGAACTTTCCAACTTATAAACGCTTGAAATGAAACTGAAATTTACGGCGGTTTGAGAACCGTATTTTTTGAATGCTGTGCAAGGTGGCTCAATTTTTTATATAGGAGATGAAATATTGAAGTGAGGATTCAAATGAAATTTAGTGAGCGGGCAGTTTTTTGTTCGCCTTTATATCTTAGTTATGTTGGGTGGGAAAATAGGTAGCCAACTTTCGCACCAGAGCAACTGATATGAAATGAATAGAAAGAGATCCGAAGGTTTCGTGTCGTAAATACAATGAATTCAAACGATATTGTGCGCGTGATTGAGTTCGAAAAAAGAGGTTCAAATCTCGTGAGACGTTGAATATTTGTTATTCAAGCTGGCACTTTTGAAAACGAAACAAAAAGACACGAGACTACCCCGAAAACACAACAGGATCTGTCACGTAAATGAAACAAGCGCTTTATTAGGCCTTTGTAACGCGCAGATTGTCAAAATCGTTCCTCTGAAGGACACAGGACAGGAAGTACTAGCCATCTTTAGAGCTCAAATCTTTGTTTGCTTTTAAAATCCAGCAAAGCTCCTTTCTTAGCATGCGATCATTAATCCTTTGTCATTACCGAGAGAAATGCCCTTGGCTCTGAACGAAAGCTGCCCTTTCTTTATTAGAATTGAATGGGCGCAGCTTGGTTTCTTTCAATCGCACGAATATGCACAACACATTAATACTGAAAAACCGTTTCATATTAGTTCTTTTAAAACCCGCGCTTCGAACCTTGCACGCAAATAACTGACTAAAGCTTCTTTCAATCGTCAAATCCTATTGGAAAGAAAATATCATTTCTTGGAAAAGGCTACCTGAACTTCAAGAATATTATCCCGACATTTGTGCGCCAAAATAATGAAAACAAAACCCTCCACTTTCAAATTTCATTTTCAGCTTCTTGAAGTTTGCACAAAAGTGAAGTGAATTGTACAAAAGAAAGCTTTGAATGTATATTTTTTATAAACAGTTTCCCGCTAAAAACGAGCTTGGATATGAGGTCGAAAATGTACTCTCTTTTTTTTCAAAGTGCACGGGACCGTGCGTGATTTGCATATGTACGCGGTTCTAATGTGAGAGTAAATATGATAAATTACTGTAAAACAAACCACCTAAAATCCATACGGCGATATTGCTTAAGCGTTTTTACGAAACCAGCGGTGGTACCACTTTAACGAGATGAAAAACGATAAGCTTTCATTGCCCAATAGCTACTTGTTTGCACTAGACGGTATTGTGATAGCATTCGTAACAAAACGCGGAAAGGAAACAGCAAATTGTACATCAGACTCTTAATTTATGTATCTCACACGAAATCAATCGAAACAAGGAAAGTTTTTGTAAATTGCTATTAAACCCTGAAAATAATATTCAGCTCGGAACGATGCCAGAAATGAAAAAAAAAATGGTGATAGAACGGTGAATTTTCACCGAGGACGAATTTTAAATTTACTTGCCCCGTCTAACAAAATCAGTTGTGAATTTCTAAAATAAAATCCATTGAAAGGCGACTTTCCTTTGAACTTCTTATTTTACAGTTATTTTAAGCGACAAAAAAGCAGAAAGCAGTTTGGTCGAGAGGTCTTTTTGCGCATTGATCTAGCAGTTTCTCCGGTCTTTTTGAAGTTTGGTTTTACTTGTTCCGGCCGCAGCGTTGTCGCTAGTATACGGCTTTGAAAATAAATTATATAAGATTTACCGTACGAAAAGACAAAGGTTTTATAAAATTGTCTTCCGTTAGTAAAGCCACTCAAACATCCTTAAACTCTGTCCATATATTCTGGTTCATTAAATTCTCCTCTCTCAATTTGTTTTTACCCAAAAGGAATCCACTGATCAGTTTATCTCTTTAAGCAAAATAAATTCAATCGCTGTTATTGATGACATCTTGCAAGATAAACAAAATTTTTTGTTCTCCGAGGGTGTCCTTTAATTTCGCACACAATATTTTATATCGCCACTTTTGCCTATTTACCTAGTATTTATTCTGATCAGCTTCGCATGAAAATTTATCAACTAGCGCTTTATAACCTGACATGCAGCTCTCACCCTCTAGAAGCATGTTATTGAAAAGCAAAAACATAAAAGGTAGCGGATTATATTTAGATATAAAAAGAAACAGCAGAAAAATATGGGGAATGCATAGGAAGTATGTTGATATTCAGTTGTCGGAGATAAATGGCAGGAAACAAATACACCAGGAGGAAATAATTTAGTTTTGTTTTCGGCTGGAAACTTGAAAACAATGAAAACGGCAAAACTTGTTATTGAGAAATGAAAATATAAGCACACGACGGGTAGCTTTTGACCAAAAACAAATAACATGCAAAGTTCACAGAGCTTTTTTTTGCTTTCTGTTTTTTATCAAATACTGTATTCCCTTTCCAAAGATACTCAGCTAAAAGCTCGGTTTTCCGCAAGAAAAAAACGAACGGTTGAAAGGCACAAAATGAATTCGTAAATGTAAATGATACGACTGTAAAAAATATATTTATTCGCACCCAAATAAGGACGAAAAAACTGTTCTTTTTGTGAAAGAGTTGTTAATAGAGGAAGATAGGTTGCGTGTTTAAATTGTAACCGGAGGAAAAAGAGAAGTTAGCACGCTTTTTAAGTCTAAAATTTTGCTTTTGTTTTGTTTTCTCGTGCTCCTTAAACAAAACATGTTCAAAAGTTAATACCAATATCGCAGGTTATTAACTCACTGAGCGGTCCTGATAAGCTTTCTAAGTTGCTATTTATCGTTCCAAGATGAGTTAATGATGTCCAAAAAAAACACTGATCTCGCCGTTCTGTGTACTTAATGAACAAACAGCGAATGTGTGAATTAAGAGACCGCAAATAAGTTATGAATTTTTGGTCACAAAGAGCAACGGATGCCAAGTAAAGAGCCTTAAAATTTCGTTTTTCTGTACATAACGTTAATTCCTAAAGATGGAAAGGAGTTCTAAATACTTTTGAGTTTGTAGACAATTTCGTGATTCGTCGCCGGCATAAAACTTCCGTTAAAGCTTTCTCAATTAGACCGCGAAGTTAAATTAACTTTCCTAAAGATGAGATTTAACGACGAAAGCGAAACGTTTGGATAAGAGCCCGGGGGTTTTAGCTAGCCGGTTTTTCCGACACTTATTCTGTAAGGCGCGACCAACGAGGCTTTCAAAAACTCTCATTTTAGACAGTTTGAATTAATCACTGTCAACTTCGGCGTTGAGCAGATTTCAAGAGTGCTCGCTTGCCTTATTAAAAAATAAGGCATGTCAACTTAAGAAGGCTTCTGGCATGCAGTGGTTCCGGTAATTCTTGATCATAGCTCTTAGTAATAAGACTTCAGGAAAGAGCGATTAGTACAGAAGTTCCCCAGGCCTCCTAAGGTTTTGTACGGTAATGGCAACGGCTGTTCTTTTCTGTTAAGAGCCCTAAGACACGCGGAAATGAGTGCAAGAAACTGAAAAGGCCTCAGCAGGAAAACAAATAATGTCAGGGAAAATTTGGTTACTAAAGCCGGTTGCTTGTTGTCAAAGTTTCGAAACTTGAATTTTATAATCTCGATTGTAATCCTCCCGGGGCCAGCAGCCAAGAGAAAATTATTTTCTACGATCCTGTGCTTCATATCGATACTGAGGAGCCAAAAAGGCCATTAAAACCTACAAAACATTTCTTCCAACTGGTTACGCAGCATGCAGTGTTGAAATTCAGTTTGTTGCGCGTTTCATCACGCACAGCAAATTTTCGTGTTTCTATGGTGGCTAGTAGGGACAAAACACTTCCCAGAATCCAAAAACACTTCCTAGAATCCACTAAATGAACTAAATAATCAAAAAAATATTAAATTTCTTATTCATTCATTCAAACTCTCACACTTTCTGATTCGCTTGAATATGCCGGCTAAACAGCTATCGTTGACCAAATTTGGAGGACGTTTGCGTTATTCGTAAGTACTAGTCTGCTACACAGCCGTTTTTAGTGTCGTCACGCAACGCTCCTAAAAGCGGCTGTGTAGCAGACTACAAGAGAACCGCCTATGGCCAGAAAAAGGGATGGCATGCCTTTTCTGAGCGTCCCCAACAGAGTTACTGAACCTGTTTTTCCGACCCAAATTTTCGCTCAATCCCGCAATTTCGATTTTCGGCATCCCGGGTCCCATACATTCTACCACCTACCCTTCCCCTGAGTCAACATTAACACTTACCACTCGCTTAGGGCAAAATTGTGACTTAGGGGAGAGGTAGGTGGTCTGTTACCCAGAAATCTCGATTGATTCCATATTGGGAACCCTGTTTTTTGGACTTTCCTCAGTCTTCTTGACGCTACCAAAAATAATTCTGAAAGTCAATGATTGCATGGATACTTTCCAGGTTAGCCTAGTTGTCTTTAACGGCACTAAAGCTCATATTTACAATAAAATACAATAACTGCTCATCATAACCCTTGCAGTGGGCTGGTCTCAGTCTAGATTTCTGTAGTATTTTTTTTATCTGTAATAATAATAATAAAATAATAAAATATTTATATAGCGCTTATACTTTTCAGTTCTAAGCGCTCTATCTGTATTGCTTCCGCATTTACTAGTGTAACTGTTCAGTTCGCAAAGTTTTTATTCCTTGTATACCGCGAATAACAATGCTACAGCGAAGATGTCGCCCTTTCTGTAGCTGGTCGAGGCAAAGTTATCCACATTTTGATCCCACAAACACTGGCTTGCCACACGCATGCCCTGGCCGCTAACAGAACCAATATGAACGAGACATACCAACTTACAGCGTTCATAATTCAACCATTTTACTCGTTGCTTGATATCCTCGCAAAGTTGAGTTGTGAGAGCGCGGCATTTGACCGAATCATAGCTGCGCAGTGCGTCAAGACTTTCTTCAAAGGCTTCATCCATAATTCTTTTGACAACATGCGGACGGAACTTTCTGTCAGGCAGTGGCTCCATTCGGTAAGTCGGCAAAACGTCGGCTTGACCTCGATGCTTCGGGTCCGTCGTGAAGCCTTCAGACCTCGGAGATACGTTGCTCGAGACTTTACGATTTGGAGAGCTTAGAAAGGGATTTGCAATTGAGGAGGGCTTTCGGCGCTCGGTCCTGTCAGGAGAAAAAGCATAAGCACTAGAATGTTGTGATGTGTTAGTTGATGATCTTCTTCTATGGTCTTCCTGCGCGGATGAAATTGAAAGCGAAGGAGGGCGACCTCCGGTGGTCACCTGATGTGTTTGTGCTTCCATAACTGTCGATTACTGTAAGATATTATAGATTGCAAGCTATGAGATAAAGGCCAAAGCGATCGTGAGCGGTTGTTGATGAGTTCAGGGAGATGAAAAAGCCAAGTCGGTTTGTTTGTCCAAGCAATTTTACAATTTAAAACGACCAACTTGAGGCCAGGTGTAATTCTTCGCTCCTTGCTGATTTTGATCGCTTGCTCTCTTCTTTAAACAAGATTCCTTCTCGGCAACTGAGAGATGTCCCAAGAAAAACTTTCTTAGTTAGACAACTGATCAGCTTTTTAATCTTACATGAGACATAATCCGCTTTATAATTTCTACTCTCTGCGGTTGCCAGGCAATGCTAAATAAAGAGTCAACTCTTCATCGCCGATGTTTACTCAACTTCGGCAAACGATCGATAGAATATTTAAAATTTAATATAAACCCTACTCATAACAAATACAATGTGCGGTCCCCCTAAAAACTCCTCAAAACAACTTGCACAAACCTTTTTAAGATTCTGAAAAGGACAGTAGGGATAATGCTCAAGACATCCTTCATTACATAAATTTTCCTTTTTTATGAGCGCAGACTGAAAATATATCTCAAGACAGCTTAAGCTTGTTTACGCAGCGTGGGCCGAGAGATGAATAGAAAGACTAAAAGCCTTCCATCAATCATTGTAGTCGAAGTAACAATGAG